AAATCGGATATAACTTTTTCCACTCGGCTCGTAAACGTTAAATATAGTAGTAGTGTAAAGGTATATGGAAAGTACAGTGGTGAAATCGTGCAAAAATTGCTCTAATTTCCATAGAAATTTATACAAAAGTTGCATAGGGCGTAAACAGCGCTCAGAGCATAACGAAATTTAAAAGTTGTTCAAAGTGTAAAATGTTCATATGAAATAGTACGTAAGTCAGTTTGTTTAAATTTAGAAAATCGAATGCAAGCTTTTGGTAGTACAGTTTTCCTACTAACGGTAGTGGTGTCGAAAAGTCATACCTCCAAATCGTACGTTCTTCACGCTAACGGCAATATAAATTAAGTATATATAGGGTATTCAAAAAGAAGAAAAATCATTTAAAAATACTTGTTACATAAACATACCAAGAACCGAATTTTGCACGAGTATCATCGATTTGGAAGCGCTTTCAACATCGTCCCGACGTCAAGGCATTGGTGAGTTAACATTTAAATTTTCTTTTATTGTACTATACCATAGCGAGTCTCTGTTAAGCGTACTCAACCGAAAATCTCACGGTTAGCTCATATCACTTAACAGCGGCGCGCTATGTTATTGCCTGTCAAACAGCTTAACACATGCAACGCTACATATATAACGTGTGCAAGTATGTATAAAGAGATTCCCTGAGTTAAGCTGCATAGCAAATTTTCTTTAGTTTTTTTTTCGATCTTTTTTTCATTCATCGTGCTTTCATTTTTGCTCGAAGAGTTTTCGGCACCGTTACGCTGTTGAAATTGTTTTTTTTTTTTCTGTGCTAACTAAACCAATTCGAATTACTTTTGATATACATATATAATACTTAAAGACATACATAAAAACAATAACCATTTAACTCAATTTTGCAAGTTAGGAATAGTAAATGTATTACCACAAAAGCAAACCAATATGAACACAGAAATCCTCCTCAATATATAATGTATGCTTAGTAAAATATTTACGATTATTTACAGGGTAAACGTAGTAGCTATAAGTTGTAATTAATAATTACCTATTTGAATTTGTTAAATTTTGTTAGAATATAAGACTTGGAACTAATATGGTAAAATTTTTGTTACTTAATTGATTAAATTTGCGTCTTAAATGCTGTTAAGATCTATAAACAATTATAACTTTCAACGACTCTACCTACTAAGTTTTGGGAAACGGTCATCAAAAATTGTTTATCATGAAATTGTTATTATGTATCATATGAAATTATAGTATAAAACATCTATTATGAATTATTAAAGCTAAATTATCTAGTTTCCTTGGTGAGATGTGTCGTTAGGGTAGCGTAATTAGTAGTAGGGGTCTTCAACAGGTCATCCATGTGAAGACCAGGTTGGGAGGGTTTAGACGAGCGAGCAACCCAACATCTTTTATGCTCGTAAGGTAAAGTAAGATACCCCCTTTTTAATTTTCTTATGCTCTTTGACCTTTTCGGTACGGTTGTTTGGCTGTATTAGGTCAGGATCTTATGCTGTTTTTGGTTCCGTTCAATTAATTGTTAAACAACAAATTTTTGTGCTAATAATAGGGACTTTAGGGACTCTGTAATACGGTAATATGAGGTGGTATCCGGTGAAAGGGTCAAAGAACCCACCCACGCCACTGTTTCGTCCGCTGGAATATTACATAAATGGCGCCCAACGTGGGGCAGTCTTGCGTTGAAACTTAAAAAAAAAAAAATTCCGCGAGATTGTCACAACTTTTTGAAATTAATGTTGATAATTGTAACTAACGTAGTGTCAATAAACTGGTCCACTTTTACATTTTTATACTTAATTTATGTACTCAAATATTTCAATACTATATTGAACCTCGCTGGACAGGCGACTAGCTGACTTCAGACCGATTAGCTCGACCGCAAGGCCATCAAAATAGCCTTTGAATTTTTGATGTTTGCTACTAGTTATTGTTTTTATTTGTAATATTAGCTATGTACAATTTATTTTTCATTGCTTGAAGAAAGTTTTCGGTTTACGTGGTACTTCCCTGGAATTACTAATAATTAGCAGCACTTGCAGTATTAGTCCGTTTAGTACTTGTTATTGTCAGAAACAAGCCGAGTGATTCGCAAACAACATTTTCATTTTAAAGTTAAAAAATAGCCCTATTAATAAACCCGTATCTTACTTACCGCCGCTGTGGTGTAGTGGTAAGCAGTGCGCGCTTCCACTCCACAATGCCTGGGTTCAAACCCTGGTCAAAGCAACATCGCAAAAAAATATTGAAAAAAGGTTTTTTCTTAACAGCGGTCGTCCCTCGGCAGGCAATGGCAAACCTCCGAGTGTATTTCTGCCATGAAAAACAGCTTCTCATAAAAATACAATCGCCGTTCGGAGTCGGCGTAAAACTGTAGGTCCCTCCGC